GACATGATCGGGATGTGACGTGTCACGAATCCCTGGAGGTTGATGCATGTTGACAGTCTCCCGAATATGACCATGAAGGAATGCATTTTTGACATCTAACTGATGAACTAGCCAATGGTGTGAAATAGCCAGGCTAAGAACAGTCCTGAAAGTGGCCGACTTGACAACCAGACTAAAGTTCTCATCGCAGTCGATGGCAGGGCATTGACTGCGACCGTTGGCAACCAAACGAGCCTTATACCGTGCTAGAGATCCATCTACATTAAATTTCTTTTTGGACAACCAAATACAGTTAACTACATTAGCATTAGGAGGCTGAGGTACAAGTACCCAAGTCTTATTAAAAAATAAGTGCATTAAATTCTTTTGTCATAGCAGTCAGCCAATTAGGATATTGTAAGGCTTGGGGATAGGTTCGAGGAATAGGTGGGGGGTCGGAATGAGACTCAATATGAAGATTGAGTTTGGTGATGGGTTTGACAATACCATGGTGAGAACGAGTAGCCATGGAGTAAGAACGAGAGCGAGCGGAAGCATTGTTTTGGGCAGCTTGATGAACCGAAGGATGAAAGTCTGAAGGACCTTCGGTTGAGGATGAGACACCTATGGAAGGAGTATCTCTGGTGCTAGAGCAGACAACAGGAGGGGCGTCGGAGGGAGATCCAACAGTCGTGGGATTAGTGGTAGAGGTGTCGACAGGAATGGTGGCATCCGTGGGAGAGGAAGGAGATGAAAGAGGACCGAGAGGATGAGCTGGGTGACTAGGGTCATCAAAGATATTACGAGTGTCATCCAACTTGAGGAAGTCATAGTCAGGAGAATGAGTTGGAGTCATAGAGCCAAACAAAAAGATTTTTTCATCGAATGTGACATGACGAGACATGATAATTTTATTTGTATGAGGTTAAGACAACGAAAACCTTTGTGGTTGGTGGGATATCCAAGACAGATGAAAGGAACCGAACGAGGTTGAAGTTTTGTGAGTGTTGTTTATGTATGGGTAGCAAAGGCATTTGAAAACACGAAGGTGGGAGTAGGATGGATGTTTGTTGAAAATTTTGTGGTATGGGGTGTCATTCTGTAAGGTGGTGGAGGGAAGGATGTTCAAAAGATGAGAGGCCATGTGTAAAGCTTCAACCCAATATGTTGGAGGGAGGTGAGCCTAAAAAAGCAAAGTACGTATGATGTTAGTTATAGTTCAAAGCATTCTTTCAGAGTTCCCGTTTTGTTGAGAGGTGTAAGGACAAGAGAAGCGCATATGGATGCCATTTACGTCACATAATTTATGAAATTGAGAATTATCAAATTCTTTGCCATTGTCGCATTGAAAAGTTTGTATGTCAGCATGAAATTGATTTTTGATGTAAGCACAAAAGTTAATGAATTTAGAAAAAAACGTTGGATTTTTTACGAAGAGGATACACCCACACAAAATGAGAAAAATGATCAAGAAAAATGACATAATATTGAATTCCACTATGACTTAATGGAGAAGTCCAAACATCCAAATGAACAACTTGAAATGGAAATGTAGCATCATTATTTGACAATGAAAAAGATATACGAACATGTTTTCCGAGTTGACAAGCATGACACAAACTAGAGGACTTATTATTATTACATGTGATAGACTTAGTGGAAAGTAAATATTGGAAAACTTGATGGTCAGGATGACCAAGACGTTGGTGCCACGTGGATGAGATGACACCAAGAAGCACTTGAGGAGGTGGACTTGTAAGGGGATATAAATCGTTTTGGCTATCACAACGAATGAGGACTTGTCTGGTGAGAAAATCCTTCACAGAAAAACCAAACTCGTCAAATTCAATACTACATTTGTTATCACGAGTGAATTGACGAACATAAACAAGGTTTTTAATTATTTGGGGATTGATAAGAACATTGTTAAGAGCTACGGTACGAAAAGGGTTAAGGCTAATAGAGGAGTTACCCGATTAGGTAACGGGAATACAAGATCCGTTGCCAACTAAAACAGAAAAATTAGAACACTTATTTGTAAAGGACTTGAGAATACCTTGGTCGGCATGAAGGTGGGCAGTTTCCCCGGTATCCATATACCAATCACCATTTTCGGGTTCTTGAAGATTCATGGTAGAAAACGCTTGCGGAAGAGCGGTTGGTTGATCCGAAATTTTTTTTTTTGCCATAGAGTGGGCTGATTAAAATATGGGCTGGCCATAAAAGCTTGTTGATGATAGGTTGAGGTCGAATTGGGCCATGTAGGTTGTTGAAGATTATAAGGCCTACTATGCTGGGAGTTAGCCCAAAACGTGTGGGGAGGAGGTAAAAGCCCAACAGAATTGATGTTGGGTCGTTGATTGTTAGACGCACCACCCAACCAAGGGTTTCAAATCCCCCAGCCGTTGTTACCAGCGAGACCAGGCGAGCCAAAATTCTCGCTGACACCACCTGTTCTACTTCTGCCTCCTCCTCTACTGGGACGACCACCCCTGTCGCCGCCTCTAGAATTCTGACCACCGCCCCTACCATTAAAGGGAGTTCCTCGGTGGTTGGTTGGAGGTTGATTTTCATGATTACGTTTTTCATGCGTGGTATTTAGGATAGTAAGGGATGAAGCATGATCTTGATGAATAGCTTGTACCATAGGATTTTGTTCCTTAATCATGGAACGTTATTCAAGCGTTAGCATGGCTCGCATTTCAAGAAAAGTCGGGAATGGTTTTTAATGTCGAATGGTGGTAACCACATGAGAAAACTTTGGAGAGAGGCCATTAATGGCATAGATAACAAGATTATGTTCTGGAGCTGGGGCTTCGATGTTGGCAAGAATATCAACAATTGACTTTATATAATAAACAATCAATCCATGGTGAGGATGTCAGGCAATAAGCTTATGTATAAAGTCAATTGCATAACAGATTAATTAGTCTTAAAGTTGATTACATGAACAAAGTTTGTGTCCCTTATTAATGTATTGTTTGCCTATTATTGATTGCACTACACATGATAGTTGTAAGACATGAGCGGAGAAGGAGACATATGGGATATGAAGGCGGAGACTAGTGACAAAGGGAAGCTGTGGGAGAGAGACGAAGACTATCCCAACCGCTTTGGCAACTTGAAGGAGTGACATTACTGAAGGAAGATGATCAATGAGATAAAGATGTTCACTTTGAAAAAAAATGTGAAAATTGGAAAAAAAATGATAATGTAGTGACTTCAGTATGTGACAACTAATTAACCATAAGATTCTCGGTAAAATGGTCGATATTGTAAATTTTTTGATAAAGAAATGTTCAATTTGGAAAAAAATTGCAAAGCAATGTTTGATTTGGGAAACAATAATGTTGATGATAATGTTGTGACTTTTTTTTTCTTTTTTAAAATGAAGAAGGTTACATGATTCAAGATGGTCTAGAACATTTTTCGTTTGACCTTTTTTAGAACATTAACATACATACACTAACCTACTCCTTAAGCTACTTCTTAATTTCATATGTCATTGATAAGACTTGAACACTCAACCTCATAGACAGAGGACATATCACCATATCGCTAAGCCAAAGACACGTCGTTGCTTGACTTATACATAGTAAAATAAACATCATTAATTAGCCAAATTAAGAATACTATGTTATTATTTTTACAATTTTGGTATTTTCTAATAAAAACATCATAAAAAAGTTGACAAAATTATGCAATTGGTCCCTCTGGTTTGTCAGACTTAGCTGGTTGAAGACTAACAAAGTGCTTATGTGTTTGGTCGTCGTGGTTTTCATTTCAAGTGTAGCTGGTCTTTATGGTTTCATTTTCTTTTATGATTGATCTAAAATTACTATTTTACCTATGATTTGATTTTTTATTAAGTTTTATTTTCTTTTTTATTCAAATTAATATTTAGAAAATTTAATCAGATCTAAATTTACCACCCACCACTTCCCTTTCATAACCACCTCCTGCAACCCCCACCACCACCGTTCAATGCCACCACCATAAAAAATCTAAAATCTAAAATCTTTTTCATTAAATATCAGGAAGGTGAATCAAGATCCATGGATGAAGTTTGAATTTTAAAATCGATTATGTATTCATCAAGGTTATGAAGGTGATTCAAGAACCTAAAAAAGCAAAATGGATGGTGTGCGCGCGCACACACATAATCGATTCAGATTATGTGTCCCTCTAATGAACATCCTTTAGTGACCTAAGAACATAACATACAGATATACACCCTATTTCAGTCTTTCCTAAGGCTAGATCTTGCTGGAGCGGGTCAGGGTTTCAATTGCAAAATTGAAAACCACATAAAGTTTCATATTCCATTTATGGGATGAGATCTTGATTGTGTTTGTCATTAGGCTTCCAAGTTTGTTTTGAGTTCCAAAAACTATTTCAGAAGTTGGAGATGGGTAAATAGATCTAAAAGGAAAATCCACACACAAATCTATTTCAAATTCACAAACACACACACACGCACACACAGAAATCCAGAAACGAAAACACACACACAAATCAATTTCAAAAAACAAAAACCCTCTAGCACAAATCGATTTCGAGGGATGAATGCCTACACATATATAGTACTTGATCTTGAATCTAGCCACAATGTTAGATATGAAGGTGGAGGTCGGATGATGTTTATAGAAAGAGGAACTCAACGTTAGGTTAAAGAAGAAAGCTGGGGGAAAGCTGTAGGGTTTAGTTATTTTCATTTTAAATAAAATTAGTTAAAATTTATAAAATATTTAAATAGGAACCGAGATTTCATTTTATATGCGTAAAATTGAAACCATATGAACCAAACATGTAGATAAAAGTATGATCATACTAGAAATTGAAACCATATGAACCAAACATCAAGAATTTCCATAATTGTCCTCATCATGTCATTTCTGACAAAGTAGAGGGACCAATAGCATAATTTTGTATAAAAAGTTAAAAACAACGGCTAATTAAAAAAAAAAAAGTAAAAGTTGCATGGATTCTTGTATTGAAGTATATTTATTCTTAAATTCCACATCTTTGGCTCTCTGCAACCCTGGTCACTGAAACCACTTTCATTGTCCCTAACCCCCCTGACCTTTTGGTTCACCAGAACAACAATGGCGACAGTTGTTTACCCTCTCTTTTCCTTTTCATCACCTAAATATCCCTTTCTTTACACCCCTTCTCCTTAACATTCTCATCAGAAGCCAATCATGACCACACTCCTCCATTTCTTCTTCTTCTCCTCATTTGCTCTGTTAATTTCTTCAATCTCTGCTCTGAACTCTGACGGAATCCTTCTTCTCTCTTTCAAATACTCTGTTCTCTCTGACCCACTTTCAGTTCTTGATAACTGGAACTATGATGATCTAACTCCATGTGCATGGCGAGGTGTCACCTGTGAAGATTTTTCCGGCTCGGGTACACCTGAGTCTTTAATGGTCGTCAGTTTGGTTCTTCCCAATTCTCATCTTCTTGGTTCCATTCCTCAGGATTTGGGAATGATTCCGCATCTTCGTTCTCTTGATCTCTCTAATAATTCATTAAATGGGAGTTTACCCCCTTCGATTTTCAATTCTTCTGAGCTGGAAACGCTTTCTTTATCCTCCAATGTCATCGCCGGCGATCTCCCGCAGTTGATATCTGGGTTGCAGAGTCTTAAACTGCTTAATCTCTCCGATAATGCATTCGCCGGAAAGTTACCGGAGAGTCTTGCGTCTTTGAAGAACTTAACATCGATTTCTTTGAAGAATAATTATTTCTCCGGGAGTGTTCCTGGTGGGTTTGATTACGTTGAGGTTTTGGATCTGTCTTTCAATTTGTTCAACGAAACTCTTCCTCTTGATTTTGGTGGAGAGAAATTGCGTTACCTGAATCTGTCAAATAACAAGCTTTCCGGAACAGTATCAGCTGGGTTTGCCGGAAAAATTCAAGCAAACGCCACCATTGACCTCTCATTCAATAATCTCGCCGGAGAAATTCCGCAGGTGTTGTCTTTATCCAAGCAGAAAACCGAGTTCTTCGCCGGAAACCTGGATCTGTGTGGAAAACCACTCAGCAAAATGTGCACAATCCCTTCATCATTATCAACCCCACCAAATATCACTGCAAATGGTTCCGCCACCGCAGCAATTGCAGCTATTCCCAAAAACATGGACCCGTCTCCGTCGTCATCAACCACAACAGGAGCACCGGCTGTGGCGGATAGCCACGGTGGCTCGAAAGTCAAACCAGTGAAAATAGCAGCCATTGTCGCCGGAGATTTAGCCGGTATAGGGCTTCTCGCCATTCTTTTCCTCTACGCTTACAATTTGCGAAAGAAGAAGATGAACCAGAACCAAAATCAAAATCAAAACCCAAAAACGAATCCCGAAACCAAAATCCAAGAGTCCAAGATTTCAAAGGATATTTCAAGTACCAGAGCGTTGTCCTCCAAGACCTGTTCATGCTTGAATGGTGTCACCGGAGACGAAACATCGGAAACAGCGACTGGGTCCGACAGTGATCACGACAACGATAACCTGACAATCGACGTCAAGGGCGGAGATAAACAAAAGTGTTTGGTGATTGTAGATGGCGAGACAGAGCTGGAAATGGAGACATTGTTAAAAGCTTCCGCGTACGTATTGGGTTCAAGCGGGCCCAGTATAGTGTACAAGGCGGTGTTGGGTGGTGGAAACGGCGGCGGAGGGGTGGCGTTTGCAGTTCGGAGGATCGGAGAGAGTGGGGTGGAGAGGATGAGAGAGTTTGAGAACACAGTGAAGATTATTAGTAAGTTGCGACACCCAAATTTGTTAAAGGTACGAGGGTTTTACTGGGGTGAAGATGAAAAGCTTGTTATCTACGACTATGTCTCCAATGGAAGTTTGGCCGGCGCCGGTTACAGTAAGCTCCCTCTTCTCCGTTCTTACCAACCATGCGCATTTTAGCATACCACCTTGATTTCTGCTAACACATACCCGAATAAAATGAATTTTTTTATACAATTATAAATACGTTTTACTCTTATATCAATCAAAATAAAATTCGAAATTATTATTTTATTATAAGGAAAGCAAATATTCTTTCGACCTCAATAGTTGAGATTACAATTTATAACTAAATTCCACAAACACCACGACAAATCAAAGTTAGCGATTAGCATGTGATATTAGCGCGTTTACTTAAGGAAAACAATTAAACAATATATTGAATATAACAAATCTGAGTTACAAGAATCGTGTATTGATTTTTTATCGTTTTATGATGCTTTTAATATTTTTATTCTTTATCAAATTTTAGGAAAAGTTGGTTCATCTCCATGCCAATCTTTACCTTTTGAGGTCAGACTCAAGATAGCTAAAGGGATTGCTATGGGGTTAGCGTATATTCATGAGAAAAAGCATGTACATGGCAACATTAAACCTAGCAATATCCTCTTGACATTGGAAATGGAACCGATCATTAGTGATTTCGGATTAGAGTGGCTTATATCAGGCAAACATAGCCATAAAACAAAGGGATCAAACCGACACTTTGGTAGCAAACGCTCAATATCGTCACGTGAAGAAATGATGATTAATCATGATTATCATCACTCTGCCAGTAGTAGCCCCTACATGGCTCCGGCTACTGGGTTACTCGGGTGCACATCTCCTTATCATGCACCCGAGTCAATGAAAAGCCTAAAACCAAACCCTAAATGGGACGTGTACTCATTTGGTATTGTCTTACTAGAGCTCATATCGGGGAAGGTGTTCTCAGAAAGGGAGTTGGGAGAGTGGAACGCTAGTTCGTCAGATATTGACGATGAGAACTCAATCTTGAGGCTAGTAGACATGTCTATCAGGACTGATAATAATGGCAGACGCGATGCGACATTGACATGCTTCAAACTAGGGTTCACTTGTGCGTCATTGGACCCACAAAAGAGACCTTCCATGAAAGAGGCATTGCATGTACTTGAAAAGATACCATTCTCATCTTGTTAATGATGAAGTTGCAACATAAAAGCCTAAAAGCATCGATTGGGATGAAAAGGGGCTAAAGTGCATCACTTTGGACCTTTTGACTAGAAATTTTTGTTGCATAATGGAGATTCAAGGGATGATTGATGAATGTTGATAGTTGATTCAAAAGTATTGTATGTTTTTGACCTTTTGATTAATAAAAGTAGAAGGCACTCCTTAAGTTCTAAGTAATATGGTATATTTGGCAATTTAGCTTTTTTAACTTTATGTTTGTTTTATTGATTGGGGTTTGGTTTGTAAGTATCTTCTTAGATTGTTCTTATGTCGACTTAATATTGAGAATCATATACCATCTTTATTAAAATCATAAGTGCGGAACTAAAACTAAGTTTATTCAATTCTAAACATAAGAAGACAAATGTTTGAGTTTGACTTTCTTGTCTTGCAAACGAGTTATAATTGATCTTTCAAGTGAAGTAAATTTGGCGTACTTTAACTTGATAATAAATCTTTATATTTAGTCGACGTTATAGTTGCTCAAAATGAAACCTTTCTTTAAATGTTATCTTTTGTAGTTTTTTGCTTGATATCAACCCAACAAAAGCAGTGTCGTGAGTTAGTTGATTGATTGAACTTTTTCTAAAGGACAATTCGTAAATATTAAGCCTTAGAGTTTGAATATGAAGAATGCACTAATGTACATATAGAAAATAGACTAAATTGCATAAATGGTCTTGTGGTTTGGTAGATCGCGCAACTTGAGTCCAAGTTTTTTTTTTCTTGCAGCATTCATCATTTAGGTTTATTTTTCTACAAAAGTAGTCATTTTGACAGACGACGTCAAAGGCTTACTGTTAACCCTCATCATGTGCCCTGCATGCGAGGTCAATTTTGTCCAATTTTTTTGTGTAAATATCCCCTTTTAAATGTTTGAATGTATTTATAACTAGAAATCTTCTCTCATCTCTCCATATATTGTATTTCTTCTTCCCTTTCCCATACAAAACATTTTTCTACAATCGTGAAATTCAAAACAAAAAAAAATGGCGTTTTGCAATTGTGGCCAACTTGCGATGCCACTAACTCCATGGACGAGCACCAACCTTAGTTGTAGGTTCTAGTCTTGTTCAAAAACCAAGTTGATGTGTCTTTTCTTTGGTTGGATCGACTCACCCATATGCCCTAGATCCATTAATATCATACCGGGTTTGTTGAAGGCAATAAATGTGGTTTAAGCCAATGGTCAAGAAGTTACAATGGAGGCAAAAAAAAAAAAAAAGTATAGGATGATGTTGTTTGGCAGTTTGTTATTAGTCATCTTGTTTTATTTCTATGTCAACTAATTTCTTTATATTAGGCCTTTTTGTTGACAATGTGCCAAAGTTCCAAATGTTCAGTTAATTAAGAGTTTAGAACTGAAGAAACAGTTGATTTTCCTATTGTAATGCTTTTGTAGAAAGGAGAATAAGATCTCCCGTTATATGCTTTTGTGGAAAGGAAGAATATGATCACTTGACATCGTTATGTATTATGGATTAAATATATAAAATTTAAGGCAATGAAACTATTTTATGAAAAACATATTGTCAACTTGTACTTTAGGACAATTATATAACATGCATTCCAATAACATATTACATATACCTAAATAAAATTCAAATCAACTAGTGTTGAGAATGCATTCACCATAGTTCAAAAATCCATTGAAAGTTAGTATGCATTTATATACAATTGGCCAGCTAATTAATTCAAAAAATGGTTATTCAAAAAGCTAACCAAAGAAGGTTACAACATCATTTGACCCATATTGTATCCGTCGGCTACAAACCTTACTAATTTATGTTGAGTGGATTGGCACTTGATGATCTAATGTCATCTTTGTGAATAACACGTTTATTTAACTTATGCTTAATGACCAGGTCCGGTTTTATTTTGATTGAAATTAAGCAAGGGCTTACTTAACCCAATTCTAAGAGGGCCCCACTTAACCCAAATTTCGATTAAGGGATTGAGCATGCCAGAAATTGAATCAGCGATAGCCAAGCGACCTCAACCTGCAATTGTTCTTCTTCTCGTTCTCTGTCTTCTAATTTCATTCTTCATTCTCGTTCCCTAAAACGATTAACCATGTTGCACTTCGGAAGAGCAGGTCCACCGGATATCAGAGATACCTATAACCTATTCAGTCCTCGTCCTCAACATCACCTTTCATAAGTTCATAATTTCATCATTCAATTTGTAAGACCTTTGATTTGTCTAACGATTTTTGTCGTTCCAAGTACAACTGTGGATGATTTGTTCCCCCTTTTTGATAAGTATAAAAAGGTTGTTGATGTTTTCATCCCTAGAGATCGCAGGTACAGTTTCCCCCAATTAGATTTAGTGGTTAATGTGCAATAATAGGATTTATCATTTTTGTGGAATCTTGCATTTGTATTTTTCTTCTGTAACGTTTTTCATACACCAAAGTGATTGAAATGTTTCTACTTCTGGAAAATATGGCTAAATGCAAGAATTGCCAACCGAATTTTGTTTATTTGTTTGTCATTCTTTCATTTTTTTTCTATTATAACATAGAATTTCGTTGTGCTTAAAGAAAATTTTTCTTATATCATTACAATTCCAATATTTTGCTTTGAAAGTCTATCTAGTTATTGCAAGGAAAGTTGCTTAAAATCTTTGTAACTATTTATAACAATGTTATATTAGGTAGAATTATAAAGAACAATGCTTCAATTGGAAGAAATGAGCATAGGGTGCTATAATAAACAGATCAGTGAAATGTAGTCACACTCTCTTGCATTTAACCCAATTATATTATTAACTTTCCCATAATTTGTTTTGATTATGTTATAAATTGAAAATCTTTATTCCAATTATTATTTTCTAAGCATATTTGGCTTTACTAATTATGTAATTCCTGTGTTGATTATAGGACTGGGGATTTTCGGGGCTTTGCCTTTGTTCGATATAAGTATGCAGATGAAGCCCAGAAGGCAGTGGACAAGCTTAATGGTAACAACTGAATTTCCATTTCTTTTAAATAATCCATTTCATGAATTAAAAAAAAAAAACAATCTTCCTTTTTACATCTATGCCATTGCTTCATTGCTTCAGGAAGAGTTGTTGATGGTAGAGAGATAATGATTAAATTTGCCAAGTATGGACTTGATGCTGAATGTGAATCATAGTCACTTTTGTTGCTAAATATATTCACAAAAAAACATATACCTAATAAAAAAATTAACTCCGCCATTTATAAATTATTTAGTTTATTATTGATGGTCCCAACCCAGATAAAGGAGGAGGTTTATAACATTAACTATAGTAAAGAACAAATGGCCCCAAATTTTTGGTTCGCTTAGAGCCCTTAAACTGGTTGAGCCGCCCCTGTTAATGATCTTCTAAAAAATCTATTCTTTTCATGGATTTAGTCAAACGCCTAAGCTCATCGCCCTCATCATCAGCATCATGCCAAGTCTATCTCCACCCCAAGTCCTTCATCTTTGTCATCAACTACCTACTCCATAACATCTTCTTATTCACTTAGATGTTCGTTAATTACATTAACATCTTGTAATTATTGGTTTAATCCATAAGGTTTTAATATAAAAAAACAAGAAAAAAGGAAAATGAAGAAGAATTATGACAATCACGTGCAACTATCCATATTATCTGCATTTGTTATTTCCATTTGCTTTAATCAAGGCTGTTAGCCAATTTCCTTAAAGTAGTTTAAATGAAGTAGGTGGATAGTATTTGTCAAGTTTTAAATGAATGTTCCTTTTGTATTAAGAAAAGGTATTAAATGAAAAAGTCAGACACTTCCTCTTAACGTTTTTTTGACATTTTTGCATTTTGCTCTCCCTTTTTTTTTGCACATACACACGAAAACAAGGAAGCTCTCCATCTCCCCTTTTATTTTTCTACAAAAGACAAGTGATTCAAAAGGCAATAAACCAACATTTGGTATCAGAACATATAAAAGTTTATGCTAAAATATCAAACCCGATATGCACCCGATATGCATCCATGGGAGATTCATCAAGGAACAAGAAGGATGGGCAGATTACACTACACCATCCTATGTTGCAAGAAACAACTATGTTGCATGGGCCATTGAAAGTGTACATGCAAGCACAAGGTGTTTAGGATGCTGTAAAGCCCAGTAAACCAGAAGATGTAGTTAAAGTTAGAAAAGATAAGATGACACTTGCAACCATATATCAAGGTATGCCAGAAGATATATTGTTGTCATTGGCAGAGAAACAAACAACAATGGAAGCATGGGATACTCTAAAAATTATGTACATGGGGGCTGATAGAGTAAAGACAGCAAGGGTGCAGACGTTAAAAGCAGAATTTGAAGTTCTAAATATGAAGGAGATGGAGACAGTGGATGAGTTTGCTATGAAGATAAACAATACTGTAAGCAATATACGGGCCTTAGGAGACAAAGTTGAGGAATCTTCATTTGGATAGAATATTTATATTTTACTTGCTACCATATCTCAAGTTTAGTGTTTTGATCATATTCTCCTAATATTCTTATTGTGTTGTAGGCACTACTTACCAAGGCGTACCTCAAGAATAGTGGATGTTGCATTCGAACTCGTTTCCTCGAGTTTGTGTGAACTATCACTATGTATAGTATCAGTAGTTCATGATAGTTTAGTTTTTAGTTTGAACTAAACTCGCTTCCCCGTGTTTGTGTGAACTATCACTACTTGATTAATTCTTATTAGTAGTTTATGATATCTAGTTTTAGTTTGAAAAAATTACGATGAGTTCCTATAATCGAACTATGACTGTTGATCCCGAAAATACAGCGATGCTTCATCGGACGTCACTGTGTTTAGAAAGTTATGCTTGCTTCGACCTGTCATCAAGTTGTAGCTAGCAACCATAGGTGGGAGTGTCAATCCCGTATAGATCTATACATATCTCTCTCACTCAGTTAAGAATTAACGATTATAGGTCGGGCGATAGTTGAATATATATATATATATATATATATATATATATATATATATATATATATATATATAGTCTACTTAGCGTAGCCGAGAATTTTGGCAGAGTAACACTAGGTACTAAACTTATCCAAATGTGGCTATAATAACGAGTTTCAGTGTTTCCTGGCAACTGGCCAACGTGACAACTAGGTATGATCTTATCAATCATAGTGGTTCAACATAACAATTAGGCATAATATTAGCTAAAGTATTTGGGCAGAGTAACTACCAGACATAATATTATCCTAATGTTATATGCATAATTATCTAACTATAATTAGTGATAACTATGTAAAGTTGTATTTTAGACATGTATCCCCCCCCCCCCCCCCCCCCGAAAAGAGTTGAAAATGAAATTGTCAACTCACCTGATAGTTGAAACCATTGATATATGCTAGAAATCCACAAGCTAGGACTTTGAGAGACATTTGGGATAGTGGAACGAGAATCGATATATAGAGAGAATGAATGAGAGGGGTGAGGAAAGTGGTTTGCAAATGCTTCCTATTTATAGCAGGTTTTAGGGTGTGTGTCGCGAATTGTGCACCGTCTAATTACGCGCGAAGCGTACGATGATGCCACGTGTCGTGTCCTTAGTGTGCCACGTCATTCCGTATCTCGATGAAATTATGTGTAACTGCGCGCGAGCGTACATGACGAGATAATTCAACTTCGAAAATTCATAACTCTCGCATACGAACACCGTCTTTTCGACAACTCTTATATATTCGTGTAGTTTTTATTATCGTTAAAAAGCATATCTCACTCATATGATTTCCGTCTTAGGCATTCTTTGCTCCATAATTCCTACTTTAAGTAGTATTACATTTGCCTAGTTGGAGACTTTTCCCAAAAGTCGGCCAATCTCCTTATAGTTTTCGTCGTTGCAACTTTTTAAGTATGACAGACATTTATTTCCTATAAATGTCATATCTCGCTTGTAGTATGTCGGATTCTTGTCAAATTTATATTTCTAGTATTGTGGTAGCATGTAGAATTTAAATATGTTAACCTGCTCGCAAAGTGACGCGACTTTTTGTGCACTTATTTTTGAGCCTATGATTTTGACGTTAATAGGAGTGATGGTTGGAATTTTTGGTGTTTACAAGATTGTGTTTTGACGTTGGTTTTCGACAGTGGTTAGGGACGTCTTTCCTGAGTTGTCACATGATGGCAGTCCAACCATGTGTTGTAGTCCTTAGTGCATGCATTGTATATGTATTTTTGTGTGGGGTATTTTATGGAACTCACTAAGCTTTGGCTTACAGTTGTGGATTTAAATGTTTTTCAGGTACTTACCGGATCACGAAGGCAGGACTATACACACACGCATCAACGATTTGATGGTTCGAGATTCTGTATTGTTTTCCTTATAACCCTTATTTGAATTATGGTCTCTGAACAAATGGTTTTGACACAGATGTATCTTTACAAAAATAGGTGTTTATTCTATTTTAAAAATGAAAATATTTATTCTGGAAATTATGACTTTACGATTTCGTATCAGAGCCCTGGTTTGAGGTATTTGGATGAACACTCGTGTGATTCCAAACTCAAACTATGGATCTGAGAATTTTTATAAACCTTTTTGAAAAGAAATGAACTTAAAAGAATAAACGAAGATGCGATGTGTATAGTCAGTTGAAGCTCAAAGGAAAACGATCTCCCAAAATATACATACATGTTGATATGTTATTGATGTTATATTATGAACTACATGCTAGAAGTAGGCAATGATCTGCTTAGGGTTGCATGTTAGAATGCATGTTTAGGAGAGATGTATGTTTGTGTTTGATATATGAACTATTAACGATGCACGATGGTGTGTAGGATAAAGATCCTCAGGAATTGTGTGTTAGAATTTCCTAATCTTCATGATGCCTTATTGACTATTGGATTTTCTGCTCGAATGTTGCTTGCCTTGTGTTATGTGAAACCTTTATTGATGTTATTTAACTATTGAGAAAATACGTTAGGTTGCATGTCACGAAGATTAAATGGTTTTAGAATGCTTGATTTGGCCATATTGCACAACTCTTGTTTGAGTCCAACCGTTGTAGTGCATAATCTTTTAGTGGAATGATTGTTTAATCTTTGATGAATGTAACTGTAATTGTAAAATAGTTAATTGACACCGGTAAAAGTTTCTTCTGCAACTGGTAACAGGGTGAGGTGGAGTTCCTAGTGACCTGATAAAATTATTAAGGCATGTTAGTGCATGCATATGTGTGAGAAGAATCCTAGGGTGAGAATCTAAGAAGTGTAGCTTGTGGCTCTTTTGAGCGTATAGGTGTGTGTTAGTACACCTAGTTGTGGTCAAGTGTAGTGACCTAGAACTTTGGGATGATTCCTGAAAAAATACAGATAGGTGTGGATGGTAGTATGGGCCCATACTACTGGAAGCATAGGATCCGTACGAGGGTCAAGAAAAGTCACAATGCTACTAGGAAGCTGGTGAGTGTGCTTTAGCTTTACGGGTTAGTTGAATATGTTCTATCGTTGTTTTCAGAATGGTGATGATTGTTTAAGTGGGGAATGGTTCGGTGCCTTAATATCATGGTGGATCGAGTTCAAGCAATGCAGACTTATGTGAGATGGTTAGTTTAGAAATCTCGAGGGAATTGTTCAAAGTGGTATCGATTATGGTTACGAGTATCAAGAAGGAAGTAAATGAGATGATCGATAAGCTATTGGCATCCTTCAATGTATTGAGGCAGTCACCGACTAGTGATGCTACTTGCCTCGACATGGTCATATATCAGCCTCACACCATTGATGGGAGGAATGTTAGGGTACTCAGCGCACGTTGGATTGAAGAAATGCAAGTTGCCTTCCACACCAATCTTTTCCCTATAGAAGTAAGGATTTGGTTTGCTTTAGACCTTTTGCATCATGTAGCAAAGAGTTGTTGGGAGTTGATTGTGCAGTCTATTTCGGTTTCTGAAATGGAGACCATGACATGGGATGCATTGACGACCCGATACCGGGAGGAACAAACGTTTTTTTGTAGGGACCAAGAGTATAACTCTAGAAGTGGGACCAGGAATCAAGAAAGAGACGAGAGAGTAGGTTTAGGACCAGGCCCGTACTACTAGAAGCATATGATTCATACTCGAATCGAGGGAGGTCACGAGGATTCTAAGGAGCTAGTTGAGGTTTGGGCCTTAGTGGCCATG